CCATGGTGACGATCCGATGACATATTTGTGAAAGTTTCTAAGTATTGGTCTTCACGAACAACCCATCCTTTCCACGGACGATCCGTGAATGCAAGACCGAAACTGACTAGCTTTGGGTGGGTGAAATTATATTTCGACGGATGATCCGTCGGTTTTACGGATGATCCGTGAGATTAGGGGACTTAGGTTCTAAATGACTAAGTCTGGAGTTGTGCTAGCAGACGATCCGTCGTGAGTGGCGGACGATCCATGAACGTAGGTCTATAGCCTCTAAGTTTCCTATGTGTGTAGACATTCTCACAAAACATTTCGTGGTGACGGCGGATGCTCCGTGATAATTTAGCTACTCTCGGGTTGGGAAATAATGGCACAAAATATTCATCGGACGATCTGCGGGTTTGGCGGATGATCCATCCAATCAAGTCTGTAGCTTCTAAGTTTTCTATGTCTGTGAATGATTTCATGGAACATTCCATCGTGAGGACGGAGAGTCCAGAAAATCATAAATAGTTGGGACAGAGCTACAAGCTCTCTAAGTGAATTGATGGAACATTCCGTAAGAACGACGGAGTGTCTGTGAATTCAATGGATAAATTGCCTAAGTGTTTGGCTATGTTTTTGTTCCAATAGAACGTTCCGACAGATTGATAGACGCTCCGTGAAACCATGTGTAGTGCAGGAATGTGCATCTCAAAATTTTGATCTTCACCTATAGTTCTAGCATGTGCAATCCATTGCTAGGGTAGGTTGCTAAGGTACTATGGAGCATATCTAGCTAGTCAAATGGATCTACATTGTGTGCAATCAACATCTAGGTCAATGATGGTCATTTCTATGTGAAGGGCAATGTGAAGCATAAAAGTGGTGTTGAGCTCAAGTCATACTCACCAAGGGTTTCCTAGGATGGCTGTGAAGCTCCTCAAGATGATGGAGATGCAAGATCCAACCCTTGGCTACTCAGGCTCCTTCTTCTTGGTTGCTCCTTCTCCTCCTAGCTCCCAAATGCTGGGGGAGAGAGGGCTCCTCCCTCTTCTATCCCCTACCCCTTGTGGTGAGCAGCTCCTACACGAAGTCCATGGCCTCCAACAGCTGGTGGCAACCTCCCATCCCTTCTCCTCCCCTTCCCCTTGCTCCTTCTTGCTTGAGTGTGTGTGAGTGTAGAGAGAGAGGGAGTGAAGAACAAGAGAGAGAGTGGGAGAGTGAAAGTGAAAGAGTTGTTCTGCTGGTGCTCTGGTTTGGCTGCCCTCGAACTAGACAGGTGGCCTGCCTTGTGGGGCCACATGAGCTCCAGAAGTGACACCTCACATTTCTGCATGGGGTGAATTGACAGATAGTCCGTCCATCTCATCGAACGATCCATCAATACACGAGTTGGTCTGACAGCTGTCTGTCTGTGCAAAAGTTTCAGTGGAACATTCCGTGGTGAGGACAGACGATCTGCCAAAATGTGCAGTGCCGAGAATATTCAGTTTCTTGACAGTTTGGTTTTCAAACTTGAATTTCAAATGCATATGATGCTCATGATGATGATGAATTTGAACAAGTCATGATCGGGTCATGATAGGGAGAGTCTGATGTTCTTAATATCAAGCTATTGAGAGAAGGCAATGGTGGGGTTACACTTCTACAATCGCAATATGTGGAAAAGGTTTTGAGTCGCTTTGGGTTTAGTGACTGCCAACCTGCTCCTACGCCTTATGATCCTGGTGTGCTATTAAGGAAAAACTGAAGAATTGCTAGGGATCAATTGAGATACTCCCAAATTATTGGTTCACTTATGTATCTAGCTAGCGCTACAAGACCTGATATCTCAATTGCTATGAGCAAACTAAGCCGGTTTGTGTCAAATCCAGGAGATGATCATTGGTGTGCTCTTGAGAGAGTAATGCACTATCTAAAAGGTACTATGAGTTATATATGGAATTCACTACGCTGGGTACCCAAGGGTGCTTGAGGGCTATAGTGACTCCAACGGGATATCTAGTGCTGATGAGATATATGCCACAAGTGGATATGTGTTCACACTTGGAGGTGGCGCTGTTTCATGGAAGTCTTGCAAGCATGCTCTCTTAACAAGGTCAATAATGGAAGCAGAACTCACAGCATTGGATACCGCCACTGTTGAGGCTAAGTGGCTTCGTGAACTCTTTATGGATTTACCAAAAGTTGAAACCCTATACCGGCTATTTCTATAAACTGTGATAATCAGACTGTGATAATCAAAGTGAACAGTTCTAAAGATAACATGAAGTCCACAAGGCATGTAAAGAGGCCGTTAAAATCTGTCGAAAAATTAAGAAACTCTAGAGTAATAGCGTTGGATTATGTCCATATGTCTAAAAATATAACAGATCAATTCACTAAGGGACTGTCACGTAATGTGATAGATAGTACATCAAGTGAGATGGGCTTGAGACCCATATGAAGTCTATCGTAGTCGTAACCTGTTCTATATGATCGGAGATCCCGTGAAGTAGGATGGTGAAACAAGCTAGTGGTAGATTGTTAGGAAAGACCCTTAACAAGGTCCATGTCGTCTGAGATGCACATCTTTCCTTTTCTGTAAGGCAGGTTGGTTTTTACCTTAATATGTTTCAAGTGGCTTGCTGAAGCAAAGATGTCCTACAGAACATCTTTTGAGGAACACACCTATATGAGTTCAACTGCTAGTCATAGTCTATGAGATTTGGATGGTCTCTAGATACTCATGAAAGTCCTAGGAGTTTGACTTATATGCTCCAACCAGAGGAATGCTTTAGGCAACCAAGTATTAGTAAAGAACTTAGGTGAAACTTATTTTGCACAAAACTGTCAATTCAAGGCATAGTCCATTGTTTAGTTGTAAAGAAGTGTAGCCTCTTTTCTGTGTGGATGTTCAACTTAACAGTCTCCATCGAAACACTGGTATATCAAACAACAGAGAAATGAGAGCATTTCATATGTGCCCTAGAATTTGGTGGGGATTGTTAGATTTAATATGGGCTTGGCCAATATTTTATTTAGTTAAATCAAATAAATCCTAGACCCATATTTAATGCTATGGTGTAATATGGTTTTAGTCCCGTATGGGATTTTGACTATATGTTGACTCAACTTAAATAGGCGGACTACGTGTGCACCTATTCAGAAGTTGAGAGAGGCAAAGGGCGTGGCACACGTGCATGGCGTGGCGTGATGTGCACGGGCTCAGGCTCGGGGTCGGGGTCGGGCCACGCCGCTCCACGATATGTGGTGCGGGCTGGGCTTGGTTTTGCCACTTGGGCTGATTGATGGAGGGACGGAGTAATGGAGGAGTTTCGGGAGTTTCTGTCAGTAACTCCCGTAACGTTCCGGTGATTACTCCTCCTTCACCAGATCTACTGATTTCCTCCCTCCCGAGCTCCTGCCCGTTCACATCCCCAGTCTCCCGATCCTTCTACTTTTGTAGTTGCCGCTCGGGTTGCACCTGCGTACACGAGAGACATAACACTACCAACGCACCTCTGTTGTAGTTGCTCCTGAGTTTCCCCATCCCGATCCTCTGTGCGCATGGAGGATTGGAAGAGCAGGCCTCCGAAACCACGCCCGCGTCTGCTGCACTTGCTTGGGTGTGCCGGGCGATCAGGTTTTTGGGGAGCGTCTACACGCGACTGCTCGCTGCTGATCAACGATCTGCTACGACTACTCCCCAACGAACGACGACGTCTTCTTCCCGGTGACCTGTAGCGGACTTCCTCCTGGTGGACGTTCGCGGGACTGCACTGCGTACATCATCCTACAACAACTGTGGTCCGCGACTTCGAGCAACGCACTATGTCGACTAGTGCGCATGGAGCCATCGGTGCCTTGAGCATGGGTTCTCCCGCTGGGTATATTTTTGATCTTACTGTTTCTATATTCAGTAAGATTTTTGTGTTGGCCATCCGTTGCTGCAGTACATGTGCACCTCAGCAGAGAGGCCACCTCAGGCCATGCAGATCAAGTGCAGAAGATGAGGAGGAGCCTGATGCTCTCATCACGGCTCAATGAACATATATCAAACGGGCAACCACAACGGCAATGCTGTGCCAGACCGCAGGGGCAGAGTGCCACAGTTGTCGCTGTAGGGAAATGTTTGTTGTAACAAAACATGGGCCATCCCACCGCTGTTACGTAACGGCAGCAGTAGGAAGCATGAATGCAGAGTCAGGGAATAACAGCAGATGCAGTTCTTCATGCTACAGGTTCGAAAACTACGAGAGGCAGCAATGTCAGCCGGATCACCTCCGGCCAAGATCAAATGAACTCAAGAACACGATGAACACTGGAGATTTTTGGTGTCGTGCAGCCGCATCAGCGTTTTCTGGTATAAATGACTTCTACTTATACACAAAGCTACAACAAACTGCAAAAGAGAAAAACGGGAGTGGCTGAGCTGCGCTCATGCTCTGATGCATGCACCATCCCACACGCCAGACCATGCCGTGCACCACGGACTCCACTCGCCACGACGCAGGACACCGTGGCCACGATACAGGACGCGCTTGGGAGGATGAGGATCCAAAGCCGAGCCCAAACACTATGCCTAACAGAGTTTGGTTTGAGCGGGAACACAGGATTACAAACGATGCTAACAAGCAACACGATATACACCTGAGACCACAGAAGTCATACAATCTCTGAACCGCACAGTTGACGCACAGAGCTGGGCTCGTTTCAATCGTCCGTGCTGTCGTCAATGTTGACGCCGCAGTTGCTGGAGAGCCGACCGCCGTTAAGCAGCAGCACAACAGATCCTTAACATTTATTTTTTTATTGATTCCATCCATGAAGATGATCAAGGGAAAGAGACATGCAACAAACATTGTTGTGAATGTTGCAGTGGGGCTTCAAGGAGACCCGCAGTTGCTGGAGAGCCGACCGCCGTGAAGCAGCAGCACAACAGATCCTTAACATTTATTTTTTTTATTGATTCCATCCATGAAGATGATCAAGGGAAAGAGACATGCAACAAACATTGTTGTGAATGTTGCAGTGGGGCTTCAAGGAGACAGCGGCTGCTGGCTCGAGGAAGCACCATCCTGCTGGGCATAAGTGTTCAAATCAGGTGAATCACCCGCATGTATCCTTAGACCCTAGGAAATTCAAGGAGTGCAAAAAAATGAATAAATATTTGTATGGCGGAAAGGGATGCATGAAGAAATCATTGAAAAAAAATTAAGTACCTGCGTGGGTTCTAGAGAGTGTACGTGGTCTTTTCCGGGCCGACCTTGAAAGTTATTAGCATCCCACTGTCCCCACCATTCTGGCTCATTATAGTGCCAAAGGTCGATGCCGGCGTGATATAGCAAAGCCCATAGATGGGTGATGAGCTCTCCACCCTGTAAGAGGTGCTGCACGTGCTCCTCTGTATTGTTGCAAGATGGCGCATTGTAGACCAACGTCTTAACCCAGAATTCTGCCATCGCCTTCCAGCGCACAGGCGTAGGCTGGCTTCGCAGTCCCATGCCTAGTTCCACGCCCGAGCAAAAGATAGTATGTGTTGATCCATGCACACGGGTAAAAAGTTCCATTGCCCCTAGCTTGTCATCCTTCCCACGCAGTGCAGTGAATACTTCTTGTCTAACTTCATTGTACACAATTTTCATACTCTCAACTGATTCATTAAGTAACCGTGGTGCTGAAACCAACAAGTATGCACAATATTTGGATAGAGCCATGGCCACGCGATGATGCTTCTCTGCAACTGCCTTTTCACTATCTGTGCACTTGAGGAAACCCTTGTCATCGTGTTCCTGCGCCAGTTCACAGTAACATGTTGCAACATGCCATTTCAGAGTATCCTCCAAACTACCCAGGTCGGATGCCCAACGACTTGCTTCATTGGAATCGAGCCCGCCAATAAAATCAGCAATGGATGCCTTCACATCAGCATGCAATTCAACGGCATTCCCTGTATTGCTGTCACACAGCATTTCCCGGAGCACTTGGCCAATGTAATGCAATCCTAGCATCACCGAGCAAACGGAACATATCGGGGCAATAATGAATATCTTCATGAATACCTTAAGCTTCCTCAAACAAGAAAAGCCCAAAATAAAATTCAGGAATTCTACGCAGCACTGCCTGCAGCATCCCATGCTGGCTGATTCAATTATTGAATGTTGTCCAAGCTTATTTTGCCATAAGTAATTGTCGGAAAGATTAATCTTGATAAGAGATGCTTTTAGTTGTCTCATCCTCCGTCTTATCCCCTTCACCTGAGGATTCCTGACATAATCACAGGCAAAGGAAACTCTGGCCCAATTTGAGGTCCAGCAGCATAACAACTGAAACACCGTCAGCAGGGCAAGAGACAGCAGTATCACTTCAGTAATAATAATGTCTGCTATTGTGGTGTCCACAATGATGGTGCCAGGAGAAGCATGGCGATTTGTCCTAGTCCCAGGTATGGCAGCAACTACCCCAACAAAACATATCCCAATAACTGAAGGAAATGCCCAAATGCTAGCAGCTTTTGCTTCATAATAATGGAGGAATGCATTGCTTGTGAAGAAGATATCATATAGAAAAGCCAACTCAACCTCAACAGCCTTGAAGACCCGCTCAAAATTCGTCCACTTAACATCAACAGCCTTGAATACCTGCTCAAAGTTTCCAATCAAGATCTCGCCCATTTGCATTGGCAAAACGTCCTCGTCGTCGTCTCCCTCCTTTATCAAAAGGAAACGCCGTTGCAACAAATGGGACAGAGAGAATGAGAAGCACACATCTTTGCATGCATCAAGATTTGATGTTAGATCATTGTCTTCGCCTCTCCTGGTAGATACATCACCCATGTAGACCGATGTACGATGCCCCACTACATCAAGAGGCATATCGACTATTAACTTTGCTACATCATTAGGATATCTGAAATAAAATTGTGCCCTCTCTTCTGGAATGTCTCTGATCATGTTCCGCATAGAGCTTGGCAGCATAAGTGCCATTGATCTATGAAAGCCCTTCATAAAAGTGACAGCAGACAACAAGCAGATAGCTACATTACCTATATCACTGGATATTGTTGAGATAGTCATCAGCATGACATATCCACAGTAGAGGCACAGCTGATATAGCATCTTCCAGAGTGCAGTCTTGTTGTCAGGACCTGACGCAGTGGTTATTGGATCAATGTAACAAAGGAAGCCCAGTAAGGATACAGTCCATATGGGATACATATCACTCTTCACAGATGAAGATTGCATTAAGCCAATGCTATATATCCCCAGGGATAAAAATAAACCATTTGCAGCTATGAAGCCCTTTTGAAGGATCCATTGATTGGACCAGCGACGGCAGGACCCAAAGGCAGAAATGAAGAAGGAGAGGGTGATGGCCACCAATGTTAATGCCTCAATACGGAGCACTGCCCCTCTTGGACTATTCCATAGATCTCTCAAATGATGCGAAAAGGTTGTTAATGTTGCACTTCCCAATTGTTGTTGATACGCCATATTCCCCATGAGGTGGTTCTCCAACTTGAAAGAAGAAGATGTATTGTAAGAGGTAGGCTACCAATTTAGCCAATAATGGAGCTTACTAGCCAAAAAAAGAAAGAAAAACAAATAGACCATCCTAGGATAGAATCGCTAGGTGGCTTTCTTTCAAGAAGAGATAAGCACCCAATTTGGAGATAAATAGGAGCCAAACCTAGGCAGTGAAAGCATACATCCATTCCTCGGACCCCTAGTTCCAATGAACAATGTTTATGAATTGCTACTCCACTATTTGTTAGCATCTTGTCAACTAGCGTTGCCGGTGTGGAACAGCCCGGAGTCATGTCTGTACAAAGAAGAGGAAGAAGAAAAGGGAGAGGGAGACAGCGATGAGAAGTGGGAGAGGGAGGAAGAGAAAGAAGAAGAGGGGTAGAGAGTTGGAGGAGCCCCCCTACCTGGTTGCCCTGTGTCCACCACTGATAAAACTAGATTTGGTGAACTAGATTCCAATCCCTCTCCTAGCACAATTGGAATAGGCAAGAACTACATTCCTGGCCCATATGTATTTTTTTTGGTTTTAAAACCACAAGATGAAAATAAATCTAAAATCTTGAAAATGTGCAGTTTCCAAAACAATCGAAATATTTCAGAAGAAAAGATAGAGGGGCTGGGGGGTGTTGTCTACTACTTATTTAGATGCCTCTGTAATTTAGTGATACGATTATGTACATGTCCAAATTTTTTGCAAGAAGAACAAACAAAGTAGTATGCTTTCAGAGCTAAGCTAGAATTGAGTCATATAATAATAATAATTTACCACGCTTCAAACAGATAATTTTTTTTTTGCGGCAGTCATCACGTACCATTTTTCACTTGCTTTTCGTTTCCTAGCTCGGTTGATGAGCTTCACGGGTGGTGCACGAGCCTTGTAGTTCCTTCTTGCTTCCAGAGTCACCTCCTGACTTCTTAACGCTGCAAATGTCGCCAGAAGAGATTTATTTCCTATATATTGAAAAGAACATGATTCTCTTGAGAGTACAAGTTTCCAAATGGTGCACGCTTTGGATGCTTTACACTTGTTCGAGACATTCCTTTGCGTGTTGCCAGTCATTCTTTATTCTTTGCTCAATGCTTAAGTTTTTTTTTTCACTGCTACGAAAAGCGACAACAATACTGGGTACATCACTGCCTGTTGCTTTCAAACTGACGGTGACAAGCTAGCACCGCCAGTTTGTAATAAAAAAGAACATCACCACCGAGTTTTTGAACCAAACACATATTAAGGCCCCGTTTGTTTCCTATAAGCTCACTACTGGATTCAAGTTGTTTGCCGAGTGCCTGAGACACTCGGTAAATGCCAAATTACACTCTGCCGAGTGCCCCGCGGTAAAGAAAAGCGACCGTTACGGCGCCGGTCCCGTTGACGGTCACTTTACCGAGTGCCAACCCTTCAGACACTCGGCAAAGATTTTTTATTTTTTTTAAAAAAAATTCTTTGCCGAGTGCCAACCCTGCAGGCACACGGCAAAGATTTTTTATTTTTTTTAAATAAATTCTTTGCCGAGTGCCAACCTACAGGCACTCCGCAAAGAGTTTTTTTTTTACAAAATTTCTTTGCCGAGTGCCACCCCGTCAGGCACTCGGCAAAGATTTTTATTTTTTTTTAAAAAATTCTTTGCCGAGTGCCAACCCTGGAAGCACTCGGCAAATAGTTTTTTTTTTACAAAATTTCTTTGCCGAGTGCCAACCCTTCAGGCACTCGGCAAAGATTTTTTTTTAAAAAAAAAATTTCTTTGCCGAGTGCCCTCTGTCAGGCACTCGGCAAAGTTTGAATTTTTTTTTAAATTTCTTTGCCGAGTGCCCGGCAAAATTTGATTTTTTTTTTTAAAAAAAATTCTTTGCTGAGTGCCATGGTCACAGCACTCGGCAAAGCTAGAAAAATGGTTTTCTGGGAGCCCATTTTTCCAGATTTGCCGAGTGCTGTGACCATTGCACTCAGCAAAGGGGTCCTTTGCCGAGTGTAACACTCGGCAAAGTGACCCAAAATGGCAATTTTTTATTTTTTTTACATTCCATCATGACAAATAAATTCATACAAACTTATATCACATATATATCTCATCCATCACATATATATCTCATTCATCCACACATCCATCCGCACATATCACATCCATCACAATATATATCACATATATAATAATAATAAGTGCTCAAGTCCATCCAAATAAATCCACAAGTCCATCAAAGTCCACAGGTGCATCACAAGTATATCACAAGTCTACCAAGTGAACAACGAATGTAAAAAATACAACGTGCACTCATCTCGGCCAATGCGACTGTGGTGAAGGCCCAGATCCATCCTTCGGAGGTGCATGAGGTGGATTATTCGAACCACCATCAGATGGAGACTGCACAAAGGAGAAAACATTGCATGTGAGACAAGATTATTTGGATAGCTAATCTAGGAATGTAGAGGTCATACAAGCAAAGCACAAGCGAAAGTAAAAAACTTTCATACTCACAAGAGTAGCTGCAGCTGCAGGACGTGGAGGCGGAGGTGGAACCAACAGCCCAGGTGGCAGAGACAAGCCCATTTGTTGCCCAAGCCCTTGTAGGAACTCTGTAATGTCCGTCAGCCTCTGCGCCTGGGCCTGCCGCTCGGCCCGCTAGGCCTCCCGCTCGGCCCGCTCGGCCTCCAGCTGGGCCACCATCCTCTGGTGCTCGGCCTCCAACTCCTGACGTTGCCTCATTTCTTCTTCCAGATGGGCCTGCAATATTTCACTCCAATATTTCAGTAATGCAAAGCTAATTAAGGTGTGTAAAGATCAATGTATGACGAGTAAAACAGGAATAACCTCGAGTGCGTCGACCCGGTGCTATGCAGCAGGCGACCGTGTGCGAATGGCCGAGCTCTCGCTCGTGCTCCGTGCTCTGATCTGGGCGAGAGAGAGAGTAGAGGCCGTGTCGATGACGCCGTCGCCAAGCCAGAACCGCCCATGCTTCTTGCCTTGCCCCGCCCTCATGACGGCCTCTCCATCGAAGTCCTGGGTGCTCGGATCGTGGTCTGACCCATGGTGCGACCTCGCCACCTCAGTGTACTCACTGATGCGGGAGTGGACGCTCGGGTTCGTGTATGCCTCGGGCAGGTCCTTTAGGTTGAAGGAGACGTCAGACGTCGCCTTGCCCTTGTGGGCCATACACCATGCCTAGAAGCCCGAGCAAGCCTGGCCACTATGTGACGCCGACTGCGAGAAAGACAGCGTGATGATTAGAAATCAGACAGAACTTAGCGTCACAATAGATAAATGAATTCGCGTACCCATGCTTGTTTGTATCCGGCGAGGCTGTGGCTGCCTTGATGGTGTGCTGGACCTTGCATCTACAAACGACGGTCCCGGGCATCCCTGTGCATCTTGAGGTACTCCTCCATGAACCACCTCTCCACCATCATCGCCCAGCACTCGGGATACGCTTGGCACCACTAGGGAATCATCTACACGTCATCAAGTATTGGACATATAAGAAGATCAAATTAAACCAACTTAATCTCAAAATGAATCAATATTGATGTTCTTCATTTACCTCAAGGTACTACTCCCGGGTCAGCTGCATCTCTCTTGCGTCTTTCTTGGTTTTTCTCTCTCCAAGCTTCGACCCGTAGTAGGTTACGATGGCCTGGATGCGCACCTCGTGATGCATGTCGGTGATGAGTTTTTTACAGGCTTTGGTAGTCACCTGCTCCGCCCTGGCCTCAAATCCCTCCTCGCATCTGTAATAAGTCTGCATACAAAAGTGATGTATCCATTCATTATTTCAAGAAAAGTCCAATGAATGCGACGTATTGAGCAATGTTCTTTGCCGGGGAGAGTTACCCCCAAACTTTGCCTTCACCCGCGCCGCCTTGTTGGGGTACTCCGCATCGGGGGCGACGGCGTAGTGGTCAAACGAGTAGGCCGGCTCCGTCTTCGATGCATACGTGACAATGCTGGGGAAGTGTTGCCGGCACAGAAGACGCAGGATGTCGTTGACTAGCTGTGCGCTACCACTCGACACAACCACCTAGTTCCTACACAAGTGATTAAGAAAAATTATTAGTTTTTTTTCATCATATCATATGAAGTAGTGGTGATAACATATAAAGTTACTTACTTTTGCCCTTCGGGGCGAATCACTGGGCGTTGGTGAGGAAGCAGAACCTATGGGAGGCTCGCGGGACCTCGCAAGTAGACACTCGAAGAGGAGTCAGAGGTAGCGGAACCCGTGCCTACCGCCTCCCCCTCCTCCTCCTCCTCCTCCTCCTCCTCCTTGTCCGTCTGCCGAACCAGCTCCTCGTCCTCCTCGTCCACAGGTGCCACCTCCTCCTCCAGCTCCTCCTCACGCGTCATGGGAGGAGACATCCCCCTCCTACGGCGGGTCCTCCTCCTCCTCCTCCTGTCTGATCCCTCTTCCACCCCCTCCGCCTCCTCCTACAGTCGGCGTGGTCTTTGGTAAATCGAGTTCACGGACCTATGACGGTCGCCCGCCATCTTTGTTCAATCACATGCAATAAAAAAGAAAAACAAGACGTAATTAGAAATAGGTGCAAAAATGAACAAAACATAATTACAAAAACATAGTATTATATGTATTAGAAATAATCTTCATGATTGAGATTAGCTGGATCATAGGTCTCGTCATCACTATCAACATTGTCCAACTCATCAACACTATCCGAAGGAGGAATGTTGTCTTCATTGTCATTGCCTAAACGTAATCGCTCAAGCATTTGTATGTCCTTCAGATTTCGCACCTTGTCTCCAGCGTCCTCATCATCATCCCTTTGATTGTCTACTTCCATTCCTATCTCTTTGGTTAAGTCTATGTCAAACCTCCCTTGTAGCCCCTCTTCTTGATAGAACTCTCCATCATATGTGTTTGGGTTGAAGTTGTAATCTTCATCGTTTGGGACAGGTAGTTTATCGTGTGGTGATACCTTGTGCACAATAGACCAACCCTTAAGATGCTCGGCGTCTTTGCACGCATAT